GAGGGCATGGGGAGGATTGCATGGGAAGAGGCGGTCTCTCAGAGGTAGCTTGGACCCAAGCCATTTAGGGCTTTAAAGGTACTGGGCCCGGAAACCAATATTGGATCTGTCACATAATGGCATCCTGTTAGTGGAATATGAAGAAATATGTCCACCTTACACCTGTGTACATTTTTTTTGGTCATTGCAGAGGTTTGTATGCTTTCTCTTCCCCTCTCCAACAATCAAAACCTCCCGTTGGACTTACTGTTGAACTGCTACTGTCCCCCAGTGGCCATCTTTGACTGATCAAGAACAAGGCAGGGATTGCAGAAGTGTTTGTCTCTGTCCCCTTAGCCAGTGGGGAAGTTATTATATCATTTGCTGAGATGTCTGGAGGATCCTGAACCTCAACCCATGATGTAATCATTTCATGTCTGGCTATGGAGACAAAGCTATGGCCCTCTCCACCAGCCATGTAAATGGCAAAGGCAGGCGTGTGTGTGTGTGTGTGTTTCAGAACTTCAAAAGTAAGTTCAGGCAGTGTTGAATGACTGGGTGTAGTGTAGTTCCTCATGTAGAACTAACAAGCTATACTGTGCCACACAGGATTCTAGTCCATTGTGTAAATACAACTTAATATCTCTGGGTGAGACTAGGTCAGATTTAAAGCATTTGAAACCTGAAGATGAAATCTGTGAAAATCAAAAGCTTACACATTCTCTCCAGCTCAGTTAGGTTGATAAAAGTCATCACCATCCTTGGTTGAAATCCTTCTTGAATTGGGGGGGGGGGGGGGGGGGAGAGAACACAGCAAGACACTGTGGCATTTTGCCAACACAAATCATTAAAAGAGTTCCACAGCCGCCTCCTTCCAGAGAACCAAAATAATTTTTCTGTTGGGGAGCAGAAGTGTCATTCTTAATATATATTCTGCTTTGAAGGCAGGTGGAGGGCTAAAAAAAGTGTAAAAGGAGGGGATGGTTGAAGAACAGTTTAAGATAATGACAGTAATTTGTTTATCTTCTTTGACAATCATACCCCTAATAAGCAGGTGGCTTTCTTTCAAGAATTTTGCTGTGAAAGAGTCAGAGAGGGGAAAAAAGGGAAGAATATTATTATTTTTGCTTCTTTCCCCTTGTAAAATGGAATGACAAATGGATATGGGGAGTAACCCCTTGCTTCAGTTGTCTATTTGCTGGTATTGTACATACAATGTTTACCGTAATAACTGAGGAAAATTCAGGTGTTGAATTTGTCATACGATGCCTAGAAGGCAACAGATAACTAAAGTGAAGGATGTGTGGCAGAGTGAGAACAAGGGACCTTTCACACTACAGAACTATAGTGCCATGATTCCACTTTTAACTATCACAGCTGCAACTTGTTGAATTCTAGGTTTTGTAGTTTAGAGGGGCTCTGAGAGC